GGGGTTTGGGAAGCAAGGGTGGAGGACAGAGGAAACTAGGATGACTTAACTTTAAATCCTGGCTCTGCCCACTGGGCTAGTCACCTAACCATCTCCAAAACTCCGTTTCCAGTTACTTACCATCTCTTGAAAATGTAGAATAATTGTTTTTACTCATGGGGGTGTTCGGAAGATTAAAAGGGATAGAGCATTTGCTCATTAATCTTAGCTGAAAATGTGCTTAATTATGAATTACTTCATCTTTTATTGCTTGCAATTGATCATTAATCCACAAAACACCTATTTATCTTTAATGCAAGGAGGATGCCTCTCTTGCCAGCTTGTGGTAGATGTAGTCGAGTCCTCTGAAGACTTGAGGAGCTTGGGCTAGTGGTTAGAGAGAGAGGCTGAGTCACAAAGACTGTTTCCAAAGTGAGTCACTTTGAAACTAGCATTATGTCTCAGTAAGAGTCAGAGCTTAAAAGCAGGGAGACCCATTGCAGGGGGCGGGGTCGGGCTTGGGGTTGGGGATGGGATGTCTGCTTTCTGTGGTGAGCAGCTCTGTAAGAACCACGTGGTTTTCACTGGGCGAGTTGTTTCAGTTTACTGTGGCTTCTGACGATTACATATTTCCAGATTCTTTCTTTTACTCCTCAAAGAACCTGTTCTTGGAAACATCAGCCATTCTCGCTGTGTGTTCTTAAATCTCTTCCCCGCTCTGGGCCTCATTCACACATGTTAAGTGTTGGAATTGTGTCTGCTGTCCCAAAGGTCTATTGTACTTTGACGTTCAGTCCCTCTGGAGTGGAGGCTGGAGACTCAGGTGAGTTCTCTCTGTGCCAAGGAGAAAGAACGACGCGATCATCCCACCCATCTTTTCCTGGATTCTGACGCATCACCCTGTGGTCTCTGACTGGTTCCCAGGGCACCTCATGCCAGCCAGTGTTTTCCAGCCTCCCTCCATCTCTGCCATCCTCCTGGTAGGAGGAAAATGATGCTGGTGCTGGAGAGATTAAGCATTTGCAAGGGTCCAAATTTCCTAAGGGCCACTTGCTTTTCAAGGCCCCAGGTGCACGTGATAGCTCAGGAGCCAGATGGATGGCCTGGACATCAAATAACACCACTTGTCCGGAGTCACTTCCCATTTATGGCTTGTTGTTATGGTTACCAAATAGATGCACATATATGGAATTATATTTCTCTCTCTCTATCTCATGTTTTTAAATAGTGAGGTGGGGCCATTGTAGGATTAGCTTAGAGCTATGAGTCACTGCGTACATGCTCCTATTTGTCTTAGCATTTTTTTATTATTATTACTGAAGTGTGTGAGGCCCTGTGGTATGGAGCCAGGCTTGGCTACCTCGCCTCCAGATGGCCTCCATGATCCCATATATGTCACAAGCATCGTGAGGAATGGCTATGTAGCCTTCAGTAATGTTAAATTTGGGCCCAGATTTCTGTATACCTGACCAGTTTGCAGGCTTATAATGGTTGAAAAGTTTTCAGAAAGGGGCAGATGGAGAGAGCACTGAGTTGGGAATCAGGTGTTTAAGCTCACATACTAATCATAATATAAATTTGGGTCAATGATTTCACCCCTTTAAGAGAGGAGGGTGACTGGGAAAAGTAAAAAAAAAAAAAAAAAAAAAAAAAAAAAAAAATTAAGTTTATCTAGCTTGCCAGACCAATTAGGTGGTAGCTGTCTGCTGTGGTGCGCTGAGAATTACAGACATCACTTGGGCCCTGGGGAAGAAGATCTGGCAAAGTGTCAGCACAGGGGCTCTGTGTGCAGACGCACGGGGTTTGATTAGCAATGTCTGCCCTGGGCTCTTAGGGCAGGAATGTCGGGGAAGTGGAGTGTATGCCATTCGAGCACCAGATGATCTCTCAAGTCCCATCTAGCTCCAGACTTTGCACAGTTAGAAACTAAAGGAAATTAACTTACTCTAGATCTGTCACCACTTCAATTCTCTCAGTGAGACTTGATCCCCAGAGCATCTAATGGTCCCACACAGCCACATTACCGGCAAAGCGAATGTCTCTGGGACTTCTGCACAGTACACATTAGATCAGATTAAAAGCTCCAAACAGGAGCCATTGAAACTCCGAGCCATTATAAAAGAGACGTCCTCTGCAATTCTCAAGGGGCCTGAACATAGGATGGGTGAACAACGGGTGCCCTTTGGGGAAAAAGTCTGTTCCAAATACTATTTTCACACTATAAATTGCAAAAACCTCTCCACTTCCCTTTGCCCAACCCCTCCCCGCTCTTGGCTCACGGTAGGGCCACGTGTCTACAGGGGTAAGAAATATTGCCAGTCATAAAGTTGAGGCAGCCTTTTGAGAAGTCTAAACAATGTTTGGATGGAAAGAGGGGGAGCTGGCTTGACAGAAAGTGATGTAGGAATCTCTGCTGCATACAAGCTCCAATAGAGCATCTGGATGTTTGAGCTGCTAAAAGGCTGAGCTAATTTCCCCTAAATTAATAAAAGTATGATGGGGATAAAATCCTCTCCTACTCTGGCCCAGCAGGCCCACATTTGGGCAGTTATCTGCAGGTCTGAGCATCACTGGTCAGACGGTGAGATTGTTTGGAACCATATGTGACCCAGCACAATAGGAAGGTTGAGGCGAAGAGGAGGACTGGGGAGCCACTGGGGGTATCAGGGTTCTCTCTGGTGTCTCATTTCAGCTGTCGCTGCTTAGCTCCATTTCCCCCTTTTACTTATTTTTTAAAATGTAGTTTATTGATTTTTTACAGAGAGGAAGAGAGAGGGACAGAGAGTCGGAAACATTGATGAGAGAGAGACATCGATCAGCCGCCTCCTGCACACCTCCTACTGGGGATGTGCCCACAACCAAGGTACATGCCCTCGACCGGAATCGAACCTGGGACCTTTCAGTCCATAGGCCGAAGCTCTATCCACTGAGCCAAACTGGTTAGGGCCATTTCCCCCTTTTAGATGGGACTCCGCCAAAGTGGCATAGCTTGGGTTCTCTGGGAAAAGAGCCTGCGATGGAGATTGGCTTGGAGTGTCCTTCAGAACCAGAGCTGTGCGGGGAAAGGAAGTGAAGGGAGCAGGTGGGCCGCAGTGTCTCACAGAGAAGACCTCAGCCCACCCCTCGGGAGCTCTGGAGCTGGGAGAAAGGCCTTCAGGTCTCTATGTTAACCACCCACTGGATGTGGGCTGGCTCTACCCGGGAAGGGCATAAGCATGGGCAAGGCAGCTCCCTTTGCCCAGAGGAAAGACTCAGCTGCCAGCCTCCAATGGGTAGCACTGGTGGCACTGGGGTAGCAAATGTCAGTGTCTCAGACCTGAATTTGATGGCACGTCTGGGTGGCCCATCACAGTGCCCACAACAACAAGGCCAACGACCTTGGCCACCAGTGACCCTAGATTTATATAAATATTTTTTTTTTTAAATATATTTTTTCCAGTAAAACTGAGGAGCTCCTGATCACTACTGCTATGGAAGCTTTTCAGCTGTAGCATGTAAGGATTGCCCACGAAATGTCTGCTCTTATGAAAATGATTTCGATGGTGATTATGACTACTGAATTCGGGCTCATCCTTATGCACTCCACTAACCAGAGTGTCTGGCTCACAGACATCATTCCAAAGTCATTTGCTCATAGAATGGATGGTTTTAGCATTCATTATTTTTTATCAAATATTCTCTTGCATGTTAAATAACAGTCCTTTACACCTTTTTAATATAAAAATCACACTGAATTCCTGGAGGACAGAAAACAACTTATTTTTCCTTTTATTACTAGTCTGCTTTCTGTCAAAGGCGGATAGAATTTTATCACGTCGTTTGTTATGGTTTCTGCTTTTGTTTATCGCCTGAGTAGTTTTTCTTTGAATTTTTCCAGTTCTGCAATGGCAGGATGAACTGTATTTAATCACAGAGAATAATCCTCTTACCACATGGATGAATTCTACTTGCTTAGACTCAGTTGAGAATAATCCCAAATACAATAACGACTTAACGTCATTTTCTTGTTATTTAAAAACATGGAGATTTTGGGTAAAAATTTGAAGGAAAAATTGCCTGTAATAAAAATTCTCTTTTTTGTGGTAACAATAACAGTTCTTTAAAACTTTCCCCAAGTATTCCCTTGATTCATTAGTCGGTTTATATCTCTCTTTATTTTTTGGGTTAATTTTAGTCATGTCTAGTTTTATAAAGGTTCCGCATGCCACTTGAAAATTTGTCACAGATTATTGTCTTTTATTATCTATTAATTCATTAAAAACAACAACAAAAAACACGAGCCAGTACTGAGCCAGGTTTAGACAGTGAGGAATGAGACAGGCACCCTCCCTGTCTCTCAGAGCTAATAAAATTATAGAAGGCATTATTTTAGTTCATCTGCAGTAAGTGTTGCAAAGGTGCACTGGGAACAGATGAAAGTTCCGGGAGAACAGCTTATCATAAAGGCATGCAGCATATCTACGTTTAATATGAATCAGCCGGTACTAAAGGAGGTCTAAACATTTTTTATTTAAAACACTAAATCGGATCCCTAAGAAAACTGAGGCCCAGAAAAGTTTGGTGACTTGTAGTGTGCTGTTAGAAAAGCCAATATTGGCATTTAAATCTGAATTATATTTAGCATTCTTTTCTAAACTATGCTAACTCCCATAAAACACACACATACACATACATGCACACATGTATCTATACTTATATATACAGGCATATGATATGTAACTTAAATGATTCAAAGGTACATTTTATGGACTATGAGTGCATTTAAATTTTGGATTGCACCCATACATGAAGAACACATTGTCTATCATTCCAGCTCTTCACCTATGTCATCATAGGCCACCCCAATTCTTTTCTGGAAACAGTGACTTGCAGCCTTTCCTCTGAGGTGGGCCATGCAGAAAATCCATATTTATGGGTACAGACAGTGCCCCCTCTTCACTGTAATGCTCTCCTGGAAACTATTGAACAGCAGCTCACCAAACAGCAGGTTTAATTTTCCCAATAATGCCATCATTGGTTCTTTCTTGGTAAACAAAGATGCTGCGTCAACCCAGGACTGAGGTTCCAAACAATCTCGCCGTCTGACCAGTGACACTCAGACCTGCAGATAACAAACCAGTCAAGGCCAGGACCAACAGGAGGTCTGAAAAGCACAGGTACAGCCATCCATGTACTAACATTTAGGGTTAGTACATCATGCTTATTTCCCTAGCAAACAGTCATAAATACCTTGTGGCCGTTGATTATTGCAAGGCTCTCCATATGCTATAAATAACACATACAGAACATTCAATGGTTGACAATTTGCTTACGGAGACAATGAGAAAGTAAATGGGGTTTAGGACCAGCTGCATGGAGTGTGAATCTTGATGTCATCACTTCTAGCCAGATCACCTGGGGAAGTTATATAATCTCTTCTGAGACTTGTTTTCATCCTCAGTAAAGTGGGAATGCTACTTACAGAAAGGGTATATTATGAGGATTAAAGAAAGTGAAGAATACAAAACACCAACCACAGTGCCTAGATATTGTTGATACTCAATAAATATTAAGTGGCCTACCTCTGCCTTTTCTCTTAATTTATCAAATATAGCAAACTGGACGATGGTTCGAATGACTCAGATCTCTGAGAATAACTACTTTGATCATGTTGAATGTTTTCTGGGAATATTTTTTAAAAATACTAAGCCAGTTGTTTTTATTTCAAATAACCCCTAATAGTACCTCAAGTTTTTATAGCGCATAGTTAAGCAAAACATAATCTGATAGGAATATACTATTTATTTGAAAAACAAAACAAAAATCTATCTTATTGAGAAGGGAAAAATACATGTCTCAAATCTAGGCCCAGATTGGAGCCAAGCCAGAAAAATCACAGCATAGATTATATATTGGCCATGGATTTAGGATGATTAGAATATGAAATAAGGGAAACTCCTGCCAGACCAGGACAGGGAGTGGTACATATAAACCAGAGGTAAGGGTGGGAGGCAGGTGGAAACACTTCAAAAGGCTTGAGAGATATCAGAGCAGGGGGTGGATCCTGGGAAGTGGCAGGGAAGGCCTGAGCATCACAGTTGCCAAGGCACATGGCTCTTCTGCCACAGGGCAGATCAGTAGAAGAGCAGTGCTCCAGGGAGGTGCCTGGGGGTGAGGGTGGAGGTGGGAGTTGGGGGAACCCTGGTCACCTCAGTTTAGTGAGAGTTTCCAGGGCCCCAGAGGCAAGTGTGGAAGAGCTGAGTGGTTTGACAGCCCGGAAGGACTGTGGCTGGGCTGGGAATGCCCTAGATTGCAGACATCTCCCAATCAGAGTCCACAGGCATCGGTGGAAGTCAGTAGTGGATGCCAGTGCCACACCCACAAACCAGGTGGCAGGAGTCACATCCAGCTGAGGCTAGTGGAGGGTGCCCAGCATCTGGGGTCAAGAAAGCTCAGTGAGGTTCTGGATTCCAGCCCACGGCTTTGATATTTCTCACTCCCCAAACCAATGATGCCATGCCTCCCCCACCCCCACCCCCACCTCCAGGTGCCATCGCAGGAGGAAGGGGCATGGAGAGCCCAGAGTCAGGAATAGTCCTGAGATGGCATTTAAATTATGCATTGCTTCATTTTGTATCTGGAGTGGAAAAAATAAGTCCCAAGTTTTAAAAGAAAATTAAATTTGTGTGCCTATTTTATTTTATTTTAATTTTTTTTGAGGAGAGGAAGACTCAGAAAGAAAATTGAATTATATTAGAAAAATAAATAAATTCGCATACTAGCATCTGCCCTTTTGATTTCTTGAGTGTGATTCTTATGCCTGTTCAAACACAGGCCTTCACCTTTCCTCAGCTGATCAGCAGGAAGAAGCAGCACCGTTTAGTGTGAATGTCTGCTTGCCTGCTGGCTTCCTCCCCCACTACCACGAAGGAGCCCGAGGAGGCCAGCACTCTGTGCTACTCACTTCCCCCAGTGTAGACAGGACTTGGCACATGGCTTCTGGTTGCTTGGAACGGAATCTTAGCTTTGCCACTTGGTAGGTATTTAACCTCTCAGACCTCAGATTCCACCGGGAAGATGATGACACCTGCTTGTTTTGGCTGCTCGAACGAGAGAATCTCTGTAGCGCTTATGAAATGTTTGTTATTTCTCTTATCACCACTATTGTTCTGAATCCTAGTCTCCCCTTCTCTGCACCGCTTCTCAGGAGACTTTTCCAAGGCCCATGTACATAAACTTCAGGCAACCTGCTCCCTGACAGCAGCCCTTGAACCCCAAAGAAAATGCAGCTTAAGCTCAAGTTGGGTCTCTACATAGAACTGATTCAATTCCAGTCATTTAGAATCTGAGCCAAGTATTTACTTAGCTTAATGGTTTATATTATTATTCAAATGACACAAGCTCACGATATAATATTCAGGCAATCTAAGAACATTTCCAATGAAAAATGCACCTCCCCCTCTCCTTAGAACCTCCGTCTCACTATCTTTCTTAAAATTTAATTATTTAATGTATTTTTTTCTATTTTTACTGGATTTATTGGGATGACATTGGTTAATAAAATTATTTAGGTTTCAAGTGTATAACTCTATAATAATACATCATCTGTATAGTGTATTGTGTGTTCACCAACCCAAGTCAAGTCTCTTTCCATCACTATTTACCCCCCATTTACCCTCTTCGGTCTCCCCCTACCCCCATTTCCCTCTGGTAATCACCAACTGTTGTCTGTGTCTATGAGTTTGTTTGTATTTTTGCTTCATCCCTTCACCCAGCCCCCTAACTCCCCTCCCCTCTGACAGTTGTCAGTCTGTTCTCTATCTGTGGACCCAGAGAACATTACGCTAAATGAAATAAGCCAGTCAGAGAAAGACAAGTACCACATGATTTCACTCACAGGTGGAATCTAATGAACAAAATTAACGGATGGATAGAATAGAAACAGACTCAGTCTCACTGTCTTGGGGCAGCTGCCTGCAGCAGTCTCTTGCATGTTCTCCCGGGAACCTCTGATGCACATACACTGGTAGACATGTGTGCTTGCAACAGGTCTGAGTGTGCTCCCCGATTCTGGTATAATGAATGTCTCTCCCCCAAACATGAAGGCTGATAGCAAATGAAACCTGTCATGCTTGACAGAGTGCCTTCCTTTGGGCGTGTAAGACTCTTAGGAGCAGAAAGGGTATAACAGTGGGGAAGACCTGACTTAAGGGCCCACCATCATTATCACATCATTATTACGTCATCATTACTGTTGTGGCTGCTCCATGCAGTGGATGCCATTGGTCCTTCAGATGGGCTCAGGGTGGTCCTCATGCCCTTTTCTGCCCCAAGCCCAGGCTCAGCTACAGACACCCTCTCTGTGTCTCTCGTGAATGCATGGCTTAGCCAGGGGTGGGCAAACTTTTTGACTCGAGGGCCACAATGGGTTCTTAAACTGGACTGGAGGGCCGGAACAAAAGCATGGATGGAGTGTTTGTGTGAACTAATATAAATTCAAAGTAAACATCATTACATAAAAGGGTACGGTCTTTTTTTTTTTTAGTTTTATTCATTTCAAACGGGCCGGATCTGGACCGTGGGCCGTAGTTTGCCCACGGCTGGCTTAGACCATAACCTACAGACATTTAGCAGTCAGTCCTCCAGAAAGTTCCCTGAAACAACTTGTCACTACTTAACCTCAGGGAAGCTACCTCTCAGCTGAGCTGTTTCCGTTCTTTAATGCAAAGCCCGAGCTTCCATGCCCTGTGGGAACACTCAGAAGAATCCCCTAGATGCCTAGGACTGGGTGTGGTTTGTCTCTCCTCATCCAGCAACTTTTGATTTTGGCTGTAAGACCAAGAGCTATTGACAATCCAGAGCAAGAGAGCCCTAAAATCCTGTTTGAGAAAAGAAGAAAAATGGGCCAGGAGCAAGGAATACAAACGAAGAGACACAGCTCTTGCTTTCTTTCGAGTAGTTTACTGTCTAGAGTGGAAGAAATTTAAAAAAGGTTTTAAACAGTGTGCTAAGCACTAGCATAAAAGGATGCACAGTTTCAATGAAACACAGTGGCGATCTCTAAATGAGATTTGGGGGGAGGCATCCTGGAGGGCTTTATGGAAGAAGAGATACATAGATGCAAACATTTTTAAAATATTGTTTAAAACAATAAAGCAGTTAGTATTGAATGAAGTGTTCAGACATCAGAGTTGACATACCTAGGCTGCCATTCTGGCTCCCCCATTTGTCAGTTGTCTGACACTGGGCAGGTGACACGCATAACCTTTTAAAGTCCAGTTTCATCATCTACAAAATGGTGATGAAAATAGCACCTGCCTTATAGTGTTATTGTGAGAATTAAAGAACATAAAGCCCATGCAGTTCTTAGCCTGGGGTCTGGAACACATTTACTCAATACGTATTTATTTGTTATTACTTTTATTGTTACCGTTGTTTCACACTCTAGTCCGTATGTGGCTCTAATCAGGTTTCCTAAACATGTGGTCTTCTCGATAAATTTCAGAAGTATTTCAGAAAGGCTTGATTCCTTCACCAGGGGAGATGTGGTGGAAGTCACAGACGCACTTGGATGTATGAGGAATCTACGAGAAGGTGCCAGAGAGGAGGCTGTGTGGGACCCTGGGTGAATGCCAGTCAATCGGAATTTTTATCTGGAAACCTCCCTGTGATTTGGAAACGAAGCTAGAAGCCAAGGTGGGAAAGGGTGGGGCTGCCCAGGGCTTTCAGCATCCCTGACCACTTCAGACCCCGTCCCTGCTCCAGTGCTTGGCCGCGTCAACAATGAGCAGGCCCCACCTTCTCTGGACTATCTTCTCCATCTCCGAACAAACACAAACAAAGTGGAAGGAAGGAAAAGACACAATGGGCAACATGTTAGGAAACACTTTTTATTTTTTTTTCAGAGTTCTTGGCAATGAGCAAGCTTTTCTGTTTTGGGGTACAATTATTTGGATATTTAAAATATCAGAAGGTCACAAGAAGAACGCTTTATGGAGGTCTGACAAAACCAGTCCATCTACCCATTTTCTTGATGAGGAAGTTGAGATCCAGACAAGTTCAAAGAGGAAATGGAAAGAATCAAGGGTGCTGAGGACTGAAATCAATTACCTGGAGGATGTCTAGAGGGTGACCTCACAAGGCTGACCGAGGACCCACGGGTGACAATGTTAGGAAGCCGATTTCCGTCAGGAGAAGAGGCTCATAACCTTCAACGCTGCTCAGAGGCAAAAGGGATGCACCGTGGGAGGCTGAGCCACCACCTCAAACGCTGGAGGGTGGAACCAGTGAAGAGAGGAGAGGAATGGGGGACCGGGTGGCCCTCGGGAGCCCTTCCTAACACTGGGCTTCTAATGTGCTTCAAAGCAGCCAGTTGAGCCGTGGCTGGGCAGTTCAGTAGGTTAGAGCATTGTCCTGATACTAGGACACCAAGGTTGCAGGTTCGATCCCTGGTCAGGGCACATACAAGAATCAATAAATGCATAAATAAGTGGGACAACAAATCTCTCTCTCTCTCTTTGTCTCTCCTCCCTCTCCCCCACCTCCCTTTTCTCTCTCTGACTCTTTCCCTTCTTCTTTCTTTCTCTAAAATCAAAATTTTTTTTAAAGCAGCTAGTCAAAAGACATTGGGATCATTATTATTTGGGCAATTCAGGCATTTACATTTCAGTGATTCAGTACATTTCTGGTGGTTTCCGTAAATTACAGGTAGACACACTTGCAATTGTGAAGTTCCCGTGTTCCGGAGGTGGAAAGATGTCAGAGAGGGTCTTTGGAGCTCAAACACCATCGCCTTTTATTGTCTGTGAGCTTTGGGGAAACTTGCTGGCCAAGTCCCTGTGTCCTCACCTGGAAAACCGGCGGCTGTGTTGACTGAATAAGGTAGTGTATGTGCAGGTGCTCTACTAAATTGCTGATATGATTAATAATATTTAAAGATAGAAACTAGCAGTGACATATAGGACCACGCAGATAAGACTTCTGTGTGCTGAAACTATTTTTAAAAATAATGATTTTCCTTCACAGCTAATTCAGGTCATAACTAGTATCTCGAATGATTCATGTCTTTCATGTGTGTGCAGACAGAGATAATCCCTATATTTTCCAGGTGAGTTTTTTCCAGCTGGGAGGGAGCTAGGCATGTAAGTCACCTTACAGGAAAAGGAATTTCTATATAGAAAAGCCTAATATGCAAAGTATTCCCTCGGGAGTTTGACCAGGAGACTGGGAGTTCAATCACTCACTATGACGTGCACTGACCACCAGGGGTCGGCGCAGAACAAAAGAAGCTGGGGAAGGAAGGCCCCAGCCGGCAGTCGGCCCTGATTGCCGGCCAGGCCTAGGGACCCTACCCGTGCACGAATTTCTTGCACTGGGCCTCTAGTCTTGTAATAGGCTTGAGAATGGCCAATGTTTGTTGTGACAGAAACTCCTTTAAAGTCTTTCTATTAAGATTCAAGTCCAACATCTGGAGCAAAAATCCTGTCTCCATCACTTAGCTATGTAACCTTGGTCAAGTTAGTTCAACTCTTTGAAAGCAGATCTTCTCATCTGTAAAACATAAAGGCTTTAGAATAGTAGCAGGAACAGAGTAAAGGTTTAATAACTCTAAGTGGTTATTATTGTTGTTGTTGTTGTTGTTGTTATTATTATTATTATTACTGGTGTTGTTTATTTTATTATTAGAAGTTGGTACCCAGAGAGAAGAGGGGGTGAGTCCAGGGCCAAACAGGGAGGTGTACACTATGAAGGGAATACAAGTTTGTTTTTGTTTTGCCCTTGCAGGTTAGTTCTCTTTTCATTACAGCCCCTCTGGTTTCCAGTGAGCAACCTGTGTTCATAGATTCAGCTTGTGAAAGCCATCAAGATATTGATCAGATTTCATACCTCTAACCCTCACTTCTACCAGCTTCCACTTAGTCCCGCCCCTTCCACGAAACCTTCCCGTCTATTGCCCAGAGAAATATTGACCACTTCCTCCCCCCTTAGAAATAGTGATCATAAAAACAAGTCCAAGGCATTTCGCAAGACTTGTCACTTCCCAGCCCTGGACTTTTATTTCCCCATTTGTAAATGAGAAGAATGTCAGAGAGTAAATAAACAATTGACTGTTGACTGGGAGCTGGGCAATGTGCTAGATGATAGAACCAAAGATGACGTAGACCAGCTCCCTGCTCCCAAAGATTTTATAGTTTTACTGCAAGAAACAGGAGCGGCTACAGATAGTTAAATGTGAAGTTAGAAGGACTGTTATAAAAACATCTGCTCCCCAAGAAAGAGATTCTCAACTGAGATTTGAATGAATAGGTAGAAAAATGATTGTATCAAGGGTGTGGGGAGTTAGCAAAAGTGAAATTTGATTTAGGTCTTCTTAACAGAAAGGGAAGAAGGAAAGGAAAGAGGAATAAACAGCATGCCCAAAGGCTCAGAGGTATCAAGAAATAGAATAAAGTGGTTAGTAATGGCAAAGTAATTCTGTGTGCTGGAGGAAATTGAGGGAGGGCAGTGAGGGCAGAGGAGGCAGTAGAGGAAGATGAAGTTGAAGATGGTCTCTGCCTCCCTCATTAGACTATTGGCAAAGGGAGGACAGATCTTGGTCACCATTTCCTCCTTTTTTGTCCAGCCGGTAAGAGGTGCATTTGCTGAAAAATAAGAGGAAAGAGTCACATGGCTAAGCATTACATGCCATGTTATGGGATTTGGATTTTCTCTCGTACCAAATAGGGGCACTGAAAAACTGTTGAATAGAAATGACCTCAGTAGACTGTATCTTTGGAAAAGATGGGCCTGGAAGCAGAGACAAAGACAGATAGAGACGACTGAGACTGGAAATAGGATTGTCTGTCAGGAGGCTATTTTACTCATTTAGGTGAAAAAGGATAAGGCTCTGCAATCAGTGGTAGTAGTGAAAAGGAAATCTTAAGGGAAGAATTGCTGGAACTTAGCAGGTAGTTGACTGTTGAGAGTGAAAAGCAGGAAGCATCAGGAATTACTGAGATTTCTCTCATTGGAAGTTGGTGAATGGCATTCTGTTTGGCCTGTTGGGTAAAAAGTACCAGTGGATCATCCAGAAAAAGATGCCCCTATGGGCAGCCGATGTCCAAGTCCCTTCCAGGTCTCTCATTGCAACCTGCTCTACTTAATTCCAACATGCACTGGCATCTTTCTAGTAACTGTTAATAATACACCTTTCCTGGACTTCTGAAGCAGCCTTCCACATCCACTCCATTCTCCATGCAGTAACCAGCACACTTTCTTCTGAGACAAAGATAGGAGTATCACATCTCTTTCCTTAAAGCACTTCAATGGCTGCTCATTATAATGTTTCATTCACAGTGTCCTAGATACAATCTAAATTACTAGCATACAAAGAATCAGGGAACTGTGGCTCATACTTGAGAGAAAAGGCAATCAAAGGAGACTGACTCTGAGATGACCCAGATGTTGGAGTTAACAGATAAAAATTTCAAAGCAGCTATTATAACCATGTTCAGGAATGCAAAGTAAAATAATTGTTGTAATACATAAACAAATAAGGAATCTCAAAAAAAAAAAAGACTACTAAAAACTGGAAATTCTAGAGCAGAAAGATATAACATCTGTATATATAAAAAGCTAAGTGTCCAACCAGCCTACCAGTCACACTGACCACCAGGGGGCAGACGCTCAACACAGGAGCTGCTGAGCTGCAGTGACTTGGCAGCAGCGGTTCTCGGGTGATGCACCCCGAAACCAGAGAGGAGGGAGCCCAATTTCTTGTGGTGCCATGCAATTCCACCTTCGGCCGTGGGTTATGTTGTTGCTGGGACACTGTTGGACCCGAATCTGGTTTACTGCACACTTGTGTTTGCATTCCACTCCCCGTATGACAGCAACTTTGCAGAGTGCCCTCTTGCACTCCAGGACCCCTTGGGGGATGTCAGAGAGCCAGTTCCGGCCCAATCCCCACAGGCCAGGCTGAGGGACCCCACCTGCTGAAGGGACCCCACTCACTCCACAGACATGGGGGAGGGACCACAGGAAGTTGGCTCCAGGGTGTGTCCGGCCCACCTCGCCCAGTCCCACCTGCCAGCCACCTTCTAATTAATTTCCTTTCAATGTGCATGAATCGATGCACCAGGTCACTAGTCTGAAATAAAAAATGTACTGGATTAGTTTAACAGCTGATGAGAGATTACAGAAAGAAGATTCCATGAACTTGGAGATAGAGCAATAGAAATAATCCAATCTAAAGAAAAGAGAAAAAGGACTAAAAATAATGTAATATATTTTTTGTGCTTTGTGGGGCCATATAAAAAAAAGGATGAACAAAAATATAAGGAATATGAGAAGGAAAGAATTAAGAGACTAGAACAGAAAAAAAATCTTTGCAGGAACAAATTTACAGATTCAAGGAGAACAGTAATCTCAAACTATTTAAAATAAATACAAAGAAAAACATACCTAGGCATATCATAGTCAAACTGCTGAAAACAAAAAATTAATTTTGAAACAGCACATTCCACCAGGGAACAACACTAGAAACCACCTCTGACTCCTCATTGGTGATGATGGATTCCAGAGGAGAAAGAGGCTCTGCCCTGAAAATGATAAAAATAAAAGAGAGAGAGAGAGGAGACAGCAAAGCTAAACTTGTCAACTTAGAATTCTACATCAGTAAAAGCATTCATCCTTCAAGAATTAAGATGAAATAAAGATATTTTCAGGTAAAAGTAAACTAGAGAATTTATTATCCACTAACCTCTGCTACAAGGAAAACCAAAAGAAGTTCTCCAGGCCAAAGGGAAATCACAACAGATTGAAATGTGGCTCTCCAGTAAGAAAAGAATTCCAGATATGATATAACAGGACAGTATTTTTTTTAAAGCATTTTTCCCTCTTAACATCTTTAAAGTACATATGACTATTTAAAGCAAATAATTAACTTTGAATTGTGGGGCTTAAAATATTTACATATGAAAATCTCTGACAACTAAAGCATAAAGGCCCAGTGTTGGGAGGGGGCATAGTAAATGGACTTATGTGGTTGCAAGTTTCTTTCATTTAACATAAAGTGGCACAATATTAATGCCAAGGAGACTGAAATCTTAAAAATGTAGGTTGCAATCCCCTAATGCTACCCTGAATAATAATAATAATAATGATAACAACACCACCACCACCACCACAAAGGGATATAGCTAAAAACTCAATAGATAAAATGGAATTCCAAAATAATTAAATTATCCTTAAAAAAAGCAGGAAAGGAAAAACAGAACAAAAACTAATGGAACAAATTGAAAATAAATAGTAAAACATAGGCCTAGCTCGCCATCAGAATGTAGGCGCTATAAAGACAAAGACCGTATTCACCTATGATTGACCTGAATGAGTGGGTGAGTGGGTGACTAAATGCATGCTCCCTGGGCACCAGCTCCTCCAAGCCCTGGGGTCTCCTCGTGACTTCTTGTGATAAACAGGACTGTATTTTGTATTTGTTTATGTTCTGCTCACCAGAAAGTTTTCGGCATTTTGGGTTTGTAATTTCTTTGTAACTCCTTCAAATGTGTGGAAAGACATGGGCTAAAAGTTGAGTTAGATCATTCTTTATGTTGAAATTACACAAATCTACTCGTCAAGAAAATAAGTTCCTTTTCTGTACATGGAAACTTGGCTGTGTACAGAGTGTTGCCTAAGGAAGCCCACTGGGATTTTCTGGGTTACTTTGGCTTTTTCTGTGAGACATGGATGCAGAAATAGTAATAATAAGCATTTGGATCACATTGTCAATTTTGAATTCAAGAAGACTCCAACTGTAGGGAGAAGTAGAAGGTCTCCAACCAAGGTCAAAGGTTTTTGTGTCACGGAGAATGAGAGGTAGAGGATACTTTTGAGGACCAAAA